ATAATAGACTTTAATGAGGGAAATTCTGTATAGTATTTACAAAGGAAGTAAGTGATACAGATATAATAACATTACAAAGAATCTGTTTCTTGGTAGGGTCTGTTTTCTTGTCTCTCTCTCTCTCTCCAACTTTTTCTTTCCTATTGCTTCCTTGCATTTGTTAACAATCTATTTTAAAGGAAAAAGTGCAAAAACAGTACTTACAGTAAAGGTGTGGTGATCAGATATTATTCATTGTTATCCTTACAATTAATACCATCCTTACAACAATTATTTACTAACAGTCTTGAATCATAAATATATAAAAGGTCATTACCATAGATTAGCAATAGAGAGAACTTTAAGAAATAGCCCCAAAATCTATGTTTACCTAATTTTTACCACCATGAATCACACAATGTAGAAACATTCACCTGCTTTGACTAGAGGTATTAACTCTGTTTTTGCATTGTTGTCATAGTTAGAAGCCTGTACAATCACCCAAGTTTAGTTATTAATTAGCTTCTTCATATTGATTCTATAAAGTGCTAACATCACAATGAATATCTGATCACCACACCTTTACTGTAAGTACTGTTTTTGCATTGTTGTCATAGTTAGAAGCCTGTACAATCACCCAAGTTTAGTTATTAATTAGCTTCTTCATGTTGATTCTATAAAGTGCTAACATTCTGACCTACTTGTTTGGCCAGAGTATAGCCCCTTAGGGTGCTGGTGGTAGTCCAGAAATAATTTTAAACTTAACATCTTAGGAACTCAAGTAATGAATTCAAAAGGTAAACATAGTAGTTGAAATATGATACCCAACAATTTTATGCACTTATTTATTTTGTTGTCGTTGTGTGTCTGAAGGATGAATGACGATAGTGGGTAAAATTTCAAAGTCAGAGAAAATATATAATCACAAGAAAATATCATGCCATGGCACTGGAGAGTACTTTCATATTTACAACTTTGTTTTGCCTAAAGAAAGTTCTTTGATTGTCAGTTTGTGAGTTGTTATTCAGATGTTTCAAAAGTATTTTCTGATTATTTGTCCTAATTTGTTTTGTACAGTCTATTTTACATTTCTTCAGAAAGTTATCTCTCAGAATTACTGATGAGGTAGTAATGTTGCAATAGGTGTGATGTTATTTACACATCTGTAAATAAGTATTTAGTAGCAGTCAGTTAATCATCATATAAAACATAGATAATGGTAATGAACTAAGTAGCTAGTAATAGAACCCCAGTAACTGTAGCCTCTTTGGAGGAAGGAGACACTGATTTAGGGAGTTTTATTTGGGTATCTCTTCTTCAAGTCATCATCTAAAATTTATATCTTCAATTCAACTTTGTTCCTTAAAGTACTAATCAGGAGCTTTTATTCATAGAACAAATGGTTTTTGTTACTGTTAGAACAACCCAAAGGTATATTTCGTTGGACCAATCAGACTGTGATTTGAAGCCAATTAGAAAATCTTGTGACAGTGAACAAAACCTTTCTTTATCTACTTTGTTCATGGGTTTTTATGACAGTCTCTCATAAATACTTTATTTAACCACTTCCAAGAACAACTAATTAAATTTGCTAGTTTGTCTATTTATATTTCTTCTCGGCAAGTCATACTTTCTCAGCGTTTGAACCCCTCTCTGATTCTCTGCACTATAATCAGAGAGGAGGGCTCAAATGCTGAGAAAGTAAGACTCTGTTTCTCTTTTTCTGAGCTGATAAGGAGCTTTGCAATGTAATTTTAGATTAATTATGATAAGGGTTGATTATCCTCATAATGCGGCATATTGTCCATCATGTTAGAAATTGAAGTATATTAGCAATGTTTAAGTTGAAAGTTAATCCTAATGTAGTATTTTTTAGAATAAGGTAGTAGTTTAGTTATTATTTAGTCTCAAATAAAATGCAGCATTAAACTTAGAAATAAGTTTTTAGTGTCAAGTCATTCAGGAACCTATTCACAATCAGGTGAAAGCTTTGGAAGTTGTTTTGTTTGAACTGACATTATGTGATTTAGATTTGAGCTTAAACTTAAAATTGAGTTTCTCTTTAAATAAGTCTTTCAAGTGATGGTGCATGTTGAAGATGAAGTTGTTTTTACCAAATATGTCTTTATTTACACTGACAACAACTTATCCTCAAACCTCTGCTTTCCAAAATATTTTATCCTTGGGTCTGGTTGTCTGTTCAGAAGAAGAAACATCTGAACAATCCTGACAACAATTTAACAGCAAATGCAACAACTGTAAACAGCAAGTAGTAGTTTGTTCTGTGCCAAGCAAATGAGAGGGTTTATATCTTAAATACAATAACTGTCAACAGCAAGTAATAGTTTGTTCTGTGCCAAGCAAATGAGAGGGTTTATATCTTAAATACAATAACTGTCAACAGCAAGTAATAGTTTGTTCTGTGCCAAGCAAATGAGAGGGTTTATATCTTAAATACAATAACTGTCAACAGCAAGTAATAGTTTGTTCTGTGCCTAGCAAATGAGAGGGTTTATATCTGAAGTATAATAACTCTAAAAAGCAAGTAATAGTTTGTTCTGTGCCTAGCAAATGAGAGGGTTTATATCTTAAATACAATAACTGTCAACAGCAAGTAATAGTTTGTTCTGTGCCAAGCAAATGAGAGGGTTTATATCTTAAATACAATAACTGTCAACAGCAAGTAATAGTTTGTTCTGTGCCTAGCAAATGAGAGGGTTTATATCTGAAGTATAATAACTTTAAAAAGCAAGTAATAGTTTGTTTTGTGCCAAGCAAATGAGAGGGTTTATATCTAAAAATGATAGCTGTCAACAGCAAGTAATTCTTTGTTACACATCAAGGAGATGAGAGGGTTTATATCTAAAATTCTCAAGGTAATTTAAGGATGATTATAAGTTTGGCATTAATTATAGTATATTTTCATAAAAATTTTGGGTATTCTTCTGTGAAAGTGTTTGTATCTTAATTGACTGACTTTGTCATCGTATTCGTAGAGCTTTCAGCTGGTTTTGGTATCAAAAGATCGATCATGTCACAAAGTGACTGATCTTCCAATATGACATGAATATAAATGTTAGTAGTGTATGATTTGAAGTTAGACATTAACTATATATTTAGTGTAATTGGATAATTAAGTTGTTGAAAGAATTGAAGTGTAGATGCTGTTAATTTTTTTATATATTTTTTTTCCTACAGAGTGTGGAACATGAGAATTCATATAAAGATCCAAAGGCAAAACACTGTTATGGAGAATCTCCCCCTGCTGCTCAACCTAGTGTTTCCTAGCAATAGCTGGCACTTTTAAGTTGTATATATTGTATATCTAGTCCTTGCCAAATGTAAATAAGTATACAGTATAGATACATTTACATGTAAATATTACATTTATCCTAGTCTTTCAATAACCAAGCTTTAGTTCTTAAGACTTTCACTTTCTCTGTGTGATGCATATTTGCTATAAACAAATGAGAATGTGGTTGTAGTGAGTCTATACAGCCTTGCTAAGTAATCACCTTTTCTGCATTGTGCATACATATAGCTTCTCCTTACAGGTAATAGATTGTAACTTTAGATAAGTCCATCCAGAAACAGTGAACTCCCATATTTATAAACAATGAACACAACCCACTTTTCCAATTGGCATTTTAGTTCATATTAGTTAGGCAGGGATAGGAACATGCCAGCCAGCCAGCCAGCCAGCTCAAATGATCTTTTTGGGAAAAGATGGACTGCCGTTTTAGACCACCAGAACCTGGAAAAAGGTAAGTCTTCAAAGAGATCACATAAGATATGTACAGTTTCCATTTAAAATATGCTGTTTGGCATTCTTATAAACTGTAAAAAAGACACTGAAAACTAAAGCTTTGTAAATAAAAATGAATACCAACCTATCACAGAGTTGTATTTCTATATAATGTTAGTAGAATAATGTGAAAGTTCTCTTAGTTTAATATTTGAATTGTTCCATGTTGATCTCGTAACGAAATATGTTTCCTCCTACATTTCTAACACGATCGTCTTTCTTCTGTGTTCCCGAAAAAAAAAAGAAGTAGGTAAATGAAAAAGTGCTTCGACAAGAAAATTTTAGGTAAAAATACTAAGAATTTTAGGAGTTCTATTTCATTTTTGAAAACCAAGTAATATAGTTTAAGATGGTCGGATTATATATATATATATATATGTTTACTTAAAATATTGTTCTTAATTTTTAGAGATACAGCAAGGTTTTTTTTTTAAAAACTCATAATATAGGTAAATTTATATCTTAAAAAACACTTGACTGTTCTCTATGTTAAACACCTTTTAGTTATGAGCTATTGTTCCTCTTACCAGAGTCTTCGTCTGGCAAAAATTTTTTCTCCGTGGAATACTTTTTTAAAGAAAGGTGTCTAAGTGCAAAAGTTGTAACAGTATCTGCCATCTCGTAGTAAAATTTGTTAACCTGTGTACGAAATGCTGAAAATGAGTTACGATAGGTACAGAGCCAACAGATAAAGACTTAAACTATTACATAAATTGAAGTATCTGGCCAATACTTTTTATTTTTGATAATATTTTACACCTCCCATCTTTTTCATTTTAAAGAGTCCTGGATTTAAGGTAGGTGCCACCCATTTTACTATCTCTTTTTGCTTACCTTGTTGTACCCTCTTTCTTTCGTATCACAATTTTTACTCTTTTAGTGAGTTAATTTAAGACCATATTTTAATTTTTACAGAACCACATTTCATTTGATATCCAGTTAGCAGTAGTAACATTGATGGCCCGATGTGGTATTTTATAAACATGAAGTGAAAGTATGTGGGAATATTATTAAAACATTTTTGTGAATTTGGAGTATTAATTGATTTTAAAAATCATAAATTTTTCTGGTATCTTTCTTTGCAGAAACGTGTAAGATACATCAGTAAAATAAGAGATTAATGTCAACAAGTGAATGAAAGGAAGGAGAAAGAAATGTGTCTGGTCCCATTAGAGCACAGCTACTTTTCAACAAATAGTTTAATCATTAAGACACGCCTTCAGTCGGGGCTTTATGTGATGGTTGAGGTATCTAATTTCAGAACTTGCAACCACTGCATCATTATAATAAGGTAAAATTTGTTATCTGTTTGAAGAAAATTTTTTAATAAACTTGTTAAGTAATGAACTGGGGTATTGGGGGTGGGGGAGTTGGATAAAGTTCCAACAGTATTTAACCATTTTTTGTATTTTGATGAAATCCATTGTTTCTTATAGTTATATTTACTTTCTACATGTAAATGTATAGTGACTAATTAAGCAACCAGTAAAACATGTACCGGTAATTCTTTTTATGGCTGGCTTATCATATCACAGTTAAAAACTTGTTGTGAATTGTACTTTACACAATGCACACTGTTATCATTCTTAAATAAGAAGAAATAGTAAATTAGTCCTGATAACTCATGGGAAACAACAACAACAACTGTGTGAGCAGTTTTGCACACCCCTCTTTTGAACAATTATTTACATTCTGATAAAATTTCAAGTAAATCTGTAAAGCCAGTTCTTACAGCCACAAATCTCCCCGATACATAAATGTAGATATATGACTGATCCCTTACATGTTCATGCTAGTTTTTGATTAAATCTTATTCGGTCCTGGAACTCCCTTAATATCTAATTTGGTTGGCTCCAATATGAAAATGTAAATATATGAATGATTCCATATGTCAGTTTATGATTAAATGTTATCCAGTCCTGGAAGCCTAGAAAGTTTTCTGACTCCATATGTTGGCTCAATTTTAAAGATTTCCATTAATGTTGAGAACAGCTCTCTACATGTTAATACCGATCTTCAAATAAATCGGTTAAGTCAAGCTTGAGAGCTCCCATAAAAACAACCTTTGACTTCTCATTTTTTAGAGCTCCTTTCAACTTTTTTTTTATTATTATTTCTTTGTTTATATACAGTATGCCTACATGCAAAATTTAAAATTGTTTTGTCAAAAATTGTGGAAGAGCTCAAAAATCAAATAAACATAAGTACATGTATATGAGAATACAAAGTAGAACTATTATATTTAGTAATGTGGTTTGTATGAAATAATCATTTTATTAATATATATTATATGACCTCTTAAACTCCTCAGGTGTGTTAAAGATTTATGTTCATAATTTTTATTATTCCAACACTTCACAACCAAATCAAGTCGGCCATTTTTTTCACTCTTTTTTTTTCTTGTACTAGAAAGCAAGATATTATGCTGTAAGCTATTATTGATATTATATTTTAATAGCTGATGGTTTGAGAAGTTTTTGTGATTTATTTACAATTTCAAATTGAAACAGTTTTCTTAAATCTTAGGAACCAGTTGGTTTTAAGATGTTTAGGTATTACACATTCTGTGATATCTATGTAATTGACAAATTGTTTCTAATAAGGTAACTGATATTGCAGAAAGAAACCAGTTCATCATATTATTGAAAAACTACAAAAAAAAGATTTAGTGCATGATAAATATGAAATTATAGGAGCTACATTTGATAAAACTAATTATGTACTAAACATTTCTTGTGTATGTATATTGCAGCCACCTACCTACCAACCACAGGAAAGGAAGAACCATAGAAAGTCTTAAGAGGAAGAACCTCCATATATCAAATGATTTATTAAAACTCACAGGAAATTTTTAGTGTAGCAAAGTTATTTCTGTTAACCAAGTTGATGAAAAAACAATTCCAAAATGTGTTCTCTCTACTTTTGATTGCATATTTATTAATATATAACATTTATTATCATATTTTAAGTTTGTACTTGCAGTAGGTGAGGATTTTTCATACTGGTGGCATTACTTAATGAATCTTATATATATCAGTGTTTTAGAGGTACTTTGAATAAATAAGCTTAAACCACCAAATTCCACTCTGTGTTCTGCTGTTTTTTCCATAAGATGTACACAAATGTTTTAGGTATTATATACACATTAATCACTGAATGATGTATCATTGTATCTCTTTTTCAAGATAGTTTAAACTCAGAGTAAATGAGGAAAGCATGTTACTAAAAAAATGAGGTATACACTTTAATTTTTTATATTTTGTTCCTTCAAGCTTTTAATTTTGTATAATCTGATGCACTATGTGAACAGTAATTTGAAGGTTAATAAACTGGCTTTATAAGTTGCTGATCTACTCTGGGAATATTGACTTTTATTTTCAAAGAAAACATCCAAGACTGATACTTTATTTTACTGTACGTTGTCAAATTAAACAAATTTCTAATCTACACATTATGGTATAGTCTAATTATTTTTTTCCCCAGTTTGCTTGGGACCAAACCCTCTAGCACTTATGGTCTAAAACTTCATTTTTGTAGTGGATATTGTAAATATAGAAATTAAAATTTGGTGAAGTAATATCAATGGAAGCATCTTGGGTTGTGTTGTTCCCAATCACCTGATAACTTATAAAGTTCTCTTAAAAGAAATTCCTGATCAGCATGTTGTTTATGAGAAATCCACCACAGAGCCACATTCCACTGAAATCCCTAAATCTGGCCGAAAGACAGGAGTACATAACAAGTTGCTTCCACATAAGTCTTGATTTTAAGAGTATGAAAAACCTGTATCTTCAGAATTTAGGATTGCAAAACCATCAAATGTTAAGATGAAAGAAAAAAAACTTTTTGTGACAACAGTCAAAGAGAAACCCAAAATGAGTGAGGAATGGAGTTAATCAAAAGTTATGATTTGTTTTCTTTCACAGTCAATCTCATTCTTAAAATACTTGTTAGTTGTCCAACTAGGAATGACCCAGAACCAACCAATCATCCAACTTATGAAGGAAATCTGTGTTTACTTTGGTGAAGATAAGTGGCCAGGGTATTGACAGTCATGGTTAAGATATATTGTGTTAAAGCTAGACTAGGGAGAAGAGTTCTAAATTGAAAAACCCAATTTCCATGAACAAACTTTAGATGTCAATGGAAAGTTGAAATATGCAGCTGTAGACATTCAGTGGCTCTTCCAAAAATGCCCCACTAAATACAAGACTTTCTCCATCCTATTCTGAAATGATGAACATTTAAAGACTAAGTTAGAAGGACAAACCCCAATTTAGGTTGCAATCCCTTCTGCACTAAAACAGAAGCTTGTAACTGGTTCCAGAACTTCATTTATAGCCCCTTTGACCACAAGCAAAAACAAAATAAAAAACTTTCTGTAGCATGAGTTCTACTTGGAACCATTTTACTTCCAGATTAAAGGAAACATGAATACACAAAACAAGGATTACAGTCCTACACGAACTCCAGAATCTCTAAAATCCAAAGGTCTAAACTACACTTCTCCAGTGAATCACAAACCTCAACCTGCTACGGGTTTCCTAGGGACAAATGACAAGTCACTTCTTTAATCTGCTATAGCTTTGTGGGATAAGTGGCAAGTCACCTAATCCACTAAAAAATTACCCACTCACTCTTGTATGTTTTACCACATAAGGATGTGTGTCTGTGGGGGTGGAAAGATTGTTTTGAGGAATCCCGAATTTGTAGCTCAAACCTGGAAAGTTCTGATTCAAAATAAAGCACCACAATTAAACAGAATATATTCAAATCAAAATAGAAATATCTTTAAGTACCAACAGAACTGAGAAATTAAGTCTTGAGTGAAAAGGTAAAGAGACATTAACATTTAATTTTGATTTGTTAGAAGTTAAGCACAAAGCTACACAATGGGATATCTGTGCTCTGCCCACCACGGGTATCTAAACACGGTTTCTAGCGTTGAAAGTCCACAGAACTACCGCTGTTCCACTGGAGGGTCTAACATTTAATATAGCAAAGGTTATTATTCAAACAAATCTTTAAAGTATCAGAAGTACAATCTGATTCAAATACAGTTTACAGTATCATAAGTAGCATCTGGAGATCGGACTTAAACATGGCGAAGCAAGTGAAAGGTGATTGTTCACAGATCTGAAAGAGGAGTAAAAACAACAAGGACTGCTAAATATCTACCCCATGTTACGAAAATAAAAGCCTAAAAAATAAGCTAAATTACAGAATGCTGTGTAAAAAAAAAAACATTTATGTGCAAACCAACTGATGTTTTTCAAGCAAATTTAGAAATCCTAGCATAAAAAATAATAATCAAATAAACGAGGATATAGCCCAACAGATAGAGTATACCAAATAAGTAATCAGGATTCAGATAACTGACTAAAATAGGGTAGAGTCGTGAAATTTTTACAAACTCGTGGTTTTATACTAAAATGTGTATAATAATGTTAAACAGCTTAAACTCACCAGTAAATCCACCTGTTCTACGATTGTTTCTAGTGTCTTAACATGATAAGAAAGGTAAAGAAGCATAACAAACTAATATATAACAATAAAATTCGACTACTAAAGATTAAAAGATAATAGTTCTGGTTGGAAAATAAATCCAGAAAATAGGTATAAAATTGATGGTAATAATGTTAAACACTTAAAGTTCACATTTTTCAAACATTTCATGCAAAAATGTGTATATATAGTTTTGCCAACATAATGTTGGTCAAGGAAAATAGTTAAATTTTTCTCACTCTAGCTACCCATTGTTCTGGGTCATTTTCCTTTGGTGTCACGTGTTCTTTCTAACAGGAAGGATCACTGTAAAGTAGTCAGTGAGCTTTTCTATTGGCGAGACCGGTGACCTTGGATGGTATTATCACTAATTTTGCGATTGCAATGACCAAGAGTGACGTAGATAGCTAGTGTGCTCTAAGAAGGAGAGCATTATCCATAATTTCTATCGAATTCTATGATCTCTCAGTCTGGAATGAATCTTTCATAGAGTCGTCCGTTTTCTGTTTTGTTTGATAAATATAGATTGCTTTCACTGTGTTTAAAGTCACGGACACATGGCTAAAAACGTTTTTGTTCATTTGAGGCATTATGAGATAAGTTTTAAAACGATCCTTTGCAGTTGTAAGCGTTTTGAGAAATTAATATCTGTTAATCGTCAAATACTGAAAAACTGGGTCGATAAATAAATTATTGACTGTTAAATCACTTCAGGGCTTGCACCGGTGGCTCAAAAACTTCATTTTCTTAACACATCTTAATCAAAACCAAGATATTACAGATTTATTCTGCACAATATTTCTAATTCTAATTACTGTCATTACCTGATCTGTTGAATTTTTCTGGAAGTACTACATACTAAATATATTACCTCATTCCTTTATTCTGCTGTTTTTGTGGAATAATGAAAGGGAAGATGACTAATGGTCCTCTTCATTTGTACGTTTTAGAACCTTTATTGTTTATTATTTAATCTACAATTTGAATAGCTTTTTTTTTTTTTGTTACTAAATTTTCTAAACTTGTGGGCTTGCGATAGAACTCTGGATTTCGAAGCTGGTCAGCCGGGTTCGAATCCGTGTGATACTTCAAAATATTCATCATAATTTAAGCTGTGTGCGCGTTATAAGAGTAACAATTGATCCCTTAGTGTGGATAGTGGATTGTAGGATGCTGTTGCCTGACTGCCTTCTCTTTGGTCAGTACTTCAAAATTAGGGACGTCGGCAAATAGCCTTAGTAGCTTTGTCATAAAATACAAAAATACACAAAAAATTCTAAATTTATTGATGAAACTAAACTTCTAGGAAGGACTGATGCTGATAAGAGTTTCTTCTATTAAAATACAACAACAACATGATTGAGTAATCTTTAATGGCTCAGCCAAAACAGTGGAAGATTAGTAATTAATAAAGTAAGTATAAAGTGACGCACTTTAATAAGCATGTAATCTCGAAATGAATTTAGTTCTTGCTTGAGAATAACCCTGGTTTGTGGAAAAATGAAAGAGTTTGAGTATGCACATGATCATTGTTGAATGCCTGAAGCCCCAGTGGCACAAAGGTTTGTCTGCAGACTTACAATGCTAGAATCCGGGTTTCGATACTCGTGGTGGGCAGAGCACAGGTAGCCCATTGTGTAGCTTTGTGCTTAATTACAAACAAACGAATGCCAGAAAATTAAATTTGACTGTATGCTTTCGTTTGGTTTGCTATGAATTTCGTGCGAAGCTACACGAGGGCTACAGTGTAAGACTAGAGGGAAGGCAGCTAGTCATCACCATTCACCGCTAACTCTTGGGCTACTATTTTACCATCACATTATAACGCCCCCACGGCTGAAAGGGCGAGCATGTTTGGTGTGACGGGGATTCGAACCCGCGACCCGCAGATTACGAGTCCAGCGCCCTAACCACCTGGCCATGCCGGGCCAAATGCTTCTGTATAGCGTAAAGATCTAATTGAGTTATGTGATTTATAGAAACTTCGTTTAAAAGTAAAAATTCTTGCAACCTTGTGTAAATACTGGTGAGTGAGGACTCATATAAAATACTGTGTGGAATCTTAGCACTTTTAGTGTACAAGATAGATATTAATAGTGTAAAGACCGCTACTTAAATAATCCTTTGTGATATTTGTAGATTAGAAAATAAATTTAAGAATTACAAGTGATTTTTTTTTGCCTGGAGTTTGAAAGTCCCCCTGGTGGTTAGCCAAAAGTAAAGGACTTAACATGCTTAAATTCCGGGTTCGATCCCTCCACTGTGGAAAGAGCTCAGATAGCCCAATGTGTAGCTTTGCGCTAAAACAAACACCGTAATTTCAGGAGCTTGAATAATTCAGTTTCCCTGTTGATGGTTGTATAAATATGATTAGAAACGTATGCTTTGATACTGAAAATAATATTTTTAAGCTTTAAAATCTTTGACTTAGGAAGGTTTTTTAAAAAATTACTTCTCGAAACAAGAAAGAGATAAATCCGTGGAATGGTTTGCCCGATCATTAGTTTTAAAATAATTAAATATGCTGAACTGGGTGCAACTTGGTGCGCATATCGAAATCTCTTCAGCACTTGTTTGGAGTAGATGATACTTGGGATTGGTCCGAGGTTACATTGACTTCGAAAGATACTTCGCTGTTTATTAAAAGTCTTTCAGCAGCTGAGTGACGGTCGATTTTGTGATTTTGACTACATTCTAGGTCTAACAAACTGTCATTGCTTCATGATGGTAGGCATAAGATTGTCTTTTCAGTTTTATTATTATTATTCTAATTCTGAGTCTGTGGTATACTATTATTACTTTAATATTGTGAAAGGAATACATTTATAATGCCGATAACAGATTTTTTTTTTGTTATAATTATAATCTTGTAATATTATTAATATTATCAATTGTTACTTTAATTGCTACTACTACTAGTAGTACTAATAATACAACTTAGTACCATGAGTATTGGTAGTGGTACTAAATACTATTACTATTAGTATTGGTAGTGTTACTGTTGTAATCATGCTATTATTGTTAGGCCTAGGCCCCTGATTTATAATTTTTAACTTATGATAGTCTCTTAATCAAGTTAATGCTAAATTTTGACTATTTTTGTTATATAATGCTTTTGAGTATTAAGTTGTATTCTTTAATTTTTTGTTGTAACGTGCTCTATTGTTGGGCAGTTTTTATTTTGTGAAAATAATGCGAAGTCCAGTCCATGTAATGATAACAAATTAACTTTTATTCTAGTTTAAACAAATTAATGTTTGCTGCAACTTGCAAGCTATGCCCACTTTGAAACTGAGTCAGACTCTGACGCAAGTTATAGGCCTAAGTTTCAACAGAAATCCCTTATGGTACACACGCGTAATTTTTGTTTTGTTTTACTCATTAAATGTATAACTCGTGGAATAAATGAATAGCAGAATAGATGTGATAACTTTCACTGTCAAACAACTGAAATGCTCTTTGAGTTCTCAGTAATATCTCATTAAATCTTACCACACTGACTACTCATTTTTATAATGCACTTTCATTTCTTTAAATTTCATGAAATTTCTAGATTATTACATCATCATAAGTTTTTTCTATATTCTAGGACCACTTTTATTACTTTTCTAAATCTAGCATTATCATCATGATAGCAGCTTCTAGGAAATAACTGAATTATAACATTGAAATTTTAGCTCATAATGCTGTCCCATTCTTGGACTTTGAAATCTGTTGAACAATCCTAATGCAAGAATAAAACAATACACTAAATTGTACATGTGCAAAATCTTTTTGTTGATTTTATTTTCTGAGGATTATAGTATACAGATACTTGTCATTTTTGTAACTTCATATTTAGACTGTGAAGAGGCTCCATTCTGATTATTTTTCTTGTTTTAGTCTTAAAGAAATGATTCAGACATGTTGGATGGAAGGCAGAGTGTGCTAATAATATTTCCTGGTTTAAAACATTTTAAGAGCATAAAAACCAAGATGAAAGAAAACCATTTGGCCCATCAAGGGCACCCAACAAAGAAATCAGCTAAACCTAAAAATTATCCCTCACTACTCACCTTTAACGATGTGTATTAAAAACTTGAGCATGCAGGAGCTAATTTGATTATGTTGTATAGGTTTGTTAGTGACTAGACTGTCTTAGTGGTAAAATGACATTTGAGATTACTGGAAACCTGAATATTATCAGGGCTAACAAGAAGAGCTTCAGAATTCTAGATCGAGAATTGTTTTTATGTAAAAGCTATGAACTTTGTGCAGTAGTTTTTCTGGTATTGTCATAAGAGTTGTTACTATTTGACGAATGGGTATTTTTATGAAAGGGATACAATAATATTGAGTTGTTGCCTTTTATATTTTCTTCTTGCTGGTGGAGTGACTTTAAGGAACTGTGTTCAGTAACTGTCATCTTGTTAATTTTAATATTAGTAAGTCATCATATAAATGGACTTTGTATACCTATGTAATATTTTGGTTATTATGTGAAATGACCTAGTACTTGTACATATACTGAAAAAACTTACTTTATATTGTGATATACATATATATTTTTAAGAATCTTTATAGGGCGGTAAAGAACCTTCAATTTTAGTAGCTATTTCAATATTTAGTACTTTGTATTGATCATTTACTGTCTTGGAAAAACATAAAATTGAAACACAGAAATGTCCTTGAACTAATATTTAGTACTTTGTATTGATCATTTACTGTTTTGGAAAAACGTAAAATTGAAGCACAGAAATGTCCTTCAACTAATATTTTAAGGTATGTTTATATTTTGTTTGTTTTTCAGTTTATTTATCACTTACAAGGAATCTAGTATTAGCTGTGGATTTCTCTTAATTTTTGTTTATGTAGTCTAGGGATGATGTATTAAACAGTGTGTATTTAATGAATTAAATGCATATATATATATATATATATGTCCATATATCTGCTGTTTCAATATTGTGTATATATTTCATTTACTGCTAATAATTACTCGACATTGATGGTCCTATAGCAAATCTTCCAGTAGTATTAGTTTGAAGAATACTTCTAGTGTTGTTGCCCAGTTGTAAGAACAACAGTGTGGAAAATTATTATTGTGGATTTTGGTTCAGGCTGGTCTGTTTAGCTTGATTTCTTTTTCTTTTTTTCAGTTATGAAGAAATATTTAGATTTTTTTAGATGATAGAAGAGGTAATGTTGAATTGAGCTTAAGATGTTTTTTATTGTTCATAGCGCATAATCTTGTAGTAATAACAAATTTGTTTTCAGTTTTCCTTCAATATGTTTCCCGAGCCAATGCGGCCTTTCAACACGCAGTATCGCTGTTACTCTGTGTCCATGTTACCTGGAAATGAACGACATGATGTGGAGAAAGGAGGAAAAAGTAGTTTTTTTTTACATTAAAGTTTCTTTTCAAAACTTGCATGTACATAAGTAGAACAATATTGATGATATTTTGCCTCTGTGTAAATGGAGAGTTTCTGTATGAATAATTTAAAGCCAAAGGTGTGTTCATCATTGCATGTTACTAATGCACATGTAAAATTCAATTATATTGTTTCAGATCATGTACTGTTTCTATATCAGCTGTTTCCTAATGTCAACTTTTAACATGACACATTTCAAAAACATTTACCAATTATAATGTTGCTATGACCAGCTTAGGTATTTCATGAAAGTTTTGTACATTTGAATACATTTTTCACTATATATATATATTTTTTTTGTTTTTGTAATTCTAAATCTTGTAGTGTTATTTTAAAAGTTCAGTTTTTATTCTTTTTTATTATAGACACAGAATTAATTTCCTGCACATATAGATTTTTCATACAGGTAATTATCCTTGTTTGTAAAATAAATGTTGAAAGATTTGTTATTAACATGTTTTAAGAGTGTATAAGAAATGGCATTTTTAGCATATATTAATACCACATGCTAAACATCGGCATTTGCTTTGCTTTAAATGCCAATCAATCAATGTACTATATGTAGTTTCTTGTGCATATCAACAACTTGGTGTTTAAATTATGCTGTTTGAATTTATTGTCATAAGGATATTTGCAAAGCTATGAGCTAGAGACTTAGATACACCAGTAATAACAACTAGTCACATTTTTTTTTTATAAGTATCCTTAATCAAATCGTCCTTTATAGTGAATATCTGTAACATTTACAGTGTATTCTTTATAAGGTGAACCTGCATTGCAACACTTTAATGGGATAAAACATTATAAGTAAGATCACAACTGTCTCACTTTTGTGAAGAAATTCACACAATCGGTGGGATAGAACTCAAAGTTAAAGTGAACCAATACCTCTGGAATCAGTTTCATTTTTCAAAAATGTTTTAATAAAAGTTTATGTATGAACTTAAAAGAGAGGTAAATGCCTTAAGCTTTTCTAATTGTTCATCTATTAGTTTTATCAAAAATTAAAAATTGTCACCTGTATCATGATTGTTATCTTGGTGTCAAACTTTGATCATAGATTTTAGTTTATGATAAAAAATTTAAATTTCATTGCATGAAATACAAATTTCTGAAATGTTTTCATTTTCTCTAGTTATCATGCCTCCTTCTGCCTTGGATCATTTGAGTAAGTAATTGTGAATATTTGAGATTCTTAATATGGATAATAAATAGGAAAAACTATACAAATATGTAATAAAAGTAATATGTTTCATCTTGAGATCTCTAACTTGGATGAGGATGTAAAACAAAGTGATTGGGTTTCCTATTATATACTTTATCATACTGTACCCTAGGTGTGACAACTGTCAGCCAAACTTCTAACAAGAAAAGACCTTTACCACAAAACGTGTACTTGTTAACATTGGTCAAAATAAATAATGTTAAGAGACAATAGCATAGCTGGAAAAAAATTATTTATGTGATTAATTAACTAAAATATTTCTGTTAACATTGCAATTATTAAGCATAACTTGCCACTCTTGCAGATTGATTTATGCTTTTCTATAGCTGATCCCAGAAATGTTCCCAGTTTAATCTTAAGATTGAGATTTTCCTAATTTTTGATAAATTGGATATGCAACGTACTTTTGACTTCCAGCTGTTAATGTGTTTATTATTCTCTCCTTATAGTTGCTAATAGCTTACTGTTAGATACTTCATATTTTTTTAATGATTTTTTTAATTGTAAGATTGGTTAATTTGAGGTATGATACAAAGACTAAGATTTTAGTTTTTATAATTTTGTTGTAACTTTTATATTTCATAATAGTTTCTTAATATTTTTAATGCCGAGATATTTTTGTAAGTTTATTTTACTTTTTTCATCGTTTGAAAAATTATTAGTCTTAAAATCTTTATCTTTAAGAGATAATTATTTCAGTTTGTTTTTTGTGATTAAAAATGTTTTTCATTGCTTTAAATAATCTAATTTGATCAACTATGGAAATGAGCAGTTGTTATAAGTAGTTCAACTAACTTGTCAATCTAACATTAAAAATGTGTGAAAACTCATTAAAGAGTTTAAATAGAATAAAATTGATTCATATTACAATCTCTAAGGAAAAGGTTCGTACGTGCACAAATAAATTCATGACACATGACACCTCCATTGTAAATGAATATGAACCTCTGAGGAAAGGATTTATACATAAACAAATAAATTCATGGCACTTTCATTGAACATGGATACATTGTATGATAAAATTAATGTTAATTTGGCAGTGAAGATTTAATTTTTCTAGTTATTTATTAATACTTGTTCAGTTGTAGTATTATGATGGAGACAAGTGTGACTAAGTGGTATTGACAACTACATTAGTAAACAAATTGGTTCACCATTTTCTCATCATTACAAGCATTACTTGCAGCTACTCTTTTCTTTCTACTGCTGCTAAATGATGGAATTGTGATTTCTAATTTATGCATTATACAAAAAAACATATCTATTGCTTAGTTTTTTTTTATACAATTTATCTATAATAATAAAAGGGCATGTCTGGGGATCTGTGTGACTGCCATAACTCCAAGAGGAAAGAACCCAGAAACCTGAAGTTTTGCACACATACTGAGTAGACCCAGAGGGTGTGCACCTGGGTATTATTACTTATTCATGCGCGTGTGCATTTTTTTATGAGGCAAGCTAGCAAAAAGCACATAGAAAAGCAGTGGTCCTTATATTACAAATAGAAATCACAGACAAACAGACAAGTACCTGGGTGTGTGTGTGCATGCGCATACAAATCTTTTGAATGAGGTATACTAGCAAAAAGCCACATAGAAAAGAAATGGTTTCTTATATAACAACTTCTAATATATAGAAAAGACAGTGCATTTTGGTTACAATATGTTCCAATAGTGGCTTTTATGTCATGTTGCTGAGCAACAAAAGTATATAGGTAACACTTTTATGCTAAAATTGGTCCAGAACACACACACATTGACATTGTCAACTAGAATACATCAACCTAATAACCCAAGCAAAGCTGGGTACTTTCACTAGTTTTTAATAAAAGAATAGCCTAAGGGAGAATTTCCCATTTGGAAGACTGTTATCATAACACTTATAAAATAGTATATGTAATGGTATATTGAAATTTGAGAAAAAGTTTACATAATAATATAATAATTATTACTTGTCTATTGTAGCACGTTTAAACATTGTATATCCTATGCTGTTTAAACTTACCAACAGCAAGACAAATAGGGTAACTCACTGTGGAGTATTGGAATTTGTTGCTGATGAAGGAAAAGTATATCTTCCTTATTGGGTAAGGCTTTTTAATTTAAAAAAAAAAGTTGAATAAGCTTGTTTTTTTTACACTTTCTTTTGCATAGTTTTTTTCTTTGTCATCACAAAGAAGCTTGTATATTTACACAAATGTTACATGTAATTTACAGTTCTTCAGAATTTCAGAATACCAATTCCACATTTTTTAAATGAAGATTAGATAATTTTAACCATTCTATTTGTGAAATGAGTTATGTATTAAATTGTAAAGATTTGAACTTGTTTTCTCAGGAACAACAAAGAACATCTGGGTACTTAATTTGAATGCTTAAGAGAAATTAGGTTTTTTTTTTAATTTTCCATGTGGTAAACTCCTGTTATGGTATTTTTCCAGTTTATAAATTTACTGGAAATTGTTTCACTGTATTATGTGTATTTTTTAATTCTTTAATTACAACAGAACTAATCTCTTCTTGGATTTATATTCCAACACATGTTTTGAAGTTATTTCAGTCATTCTTCATAAGGAAGTCTTGCAATTGTTAACACATTTACGTTGCACTGACAACAGTTGCCTGGGAAAGTTAGAGGTGCAATACATGGATTCATTAGCTGTGTTCGGGTAGTTGGTGAAACCTTTTATGGATTCAGTAACTGTGTCAATAATTTTGTTAAAGAAGTTGACCACTGACATTACAGCATTCATATTATGACTTTGTCTTTCTATGTGAGCAATTTTCCAGTGATTTCCATTTCTTCTGCAAACTCCCTTGTCATTACCAATGTTTTTTTTTTCAAAAACCTTCATCAGTCCTGTACTGTTGAAGGAAATATTTCATTCTTGTAGTTGTGAACTTGAGGCATGTCAAATCATTGTCTTGAAGCTGGTGTGACTGATCTCGTATGCCAAATTGGTTATACTACAAGACAAGCCACATTTGCTATTGCTTTGGAATACAACTTCATTCCATTGGATCCTGTAAGGATTTTGTCTTCCACAATAGAGACCAAAGTGTTGTAGACTCTCTCTTCTTTTCCATGATGTGTCCAGTGGTGACAGAGCTTTTTGCTCATTACCAGGACTCATCAGGCTGGTTGGCAAACAACAGACATCCTAGATGTCTAGTCATTATTTATATTCTCAGTTGCACGAACAACAACTATTATGGTGTGATTTAGTTTAAGTGAGATGTAACTATTATAAATTTTTGTATTTAAGTCATTTGCAAATTGGAATTAGGGTAAAGTTTAATAATAAATAATTATTTTTAACAACTATTATTTATTTTATTCTTATATTAACTTGAATGAACTTATTAATCAGAACAACTGGAAACTAGCAAGCTAGTTTTCATGTGCTAGGTTTGTGATTTATGTAATGTTTTCAGCTCTGGTGTCATAAAATTTAAAAAACATTTTAATCTATCAGATGATGAGGAACTTGTTGCTCGAAGAAGGTGGGATTCTTCAAGTCGAGAGTGCAACACTACCTGTAGCAACCTTTTCCAAATTTCAGCCCCAATCTGAAGATTTCTTGGACATCACTAATCCTAAAGCAGTGTATCCTTTTTACTTGTAGTTGGTTTCATCTCTGTGCCTGGTGTAGTGACCAATGATATGGCTGTTACACTACTAATTTAACCTTTCACAAGTCCAGTAGGTAAACATTGTGAAATTGTATTACTTTGTGTTAAAATGAAGTACCAATTGGTAAATTTTATTTTTAATAATAGGAGATTCATTTTTGGATTTTCAATTTAACAAAAATTGCATTCATTCAACACACATTTTGCACTGACTAATCTCGTTTTCACACTTTCCAAAAATCCTGTTAATGGACTGTAACTCGTGAGGTACAGTTGTGATTTCTGCGTAGTTATGAACAGTGTGATAGTTGTACGATGTCATAAAACAAGCTCAGTTTTATACTTTCTACACACCTTGGTAACAGACTGTAGCTCCCTTACCTAGATTTGGGATTTTTACATAATTATGAAGTGTGAGATAGTTATATTATGCATTAAAATTAACCCTTTTTTTAACAGATTTAATTTAACTTAGCAGCTATATCCTTTATACATGTCCTTTAAAACAGATTGAGTATTTTTTATTGCTGTGTATTATTATAACTATCAAAGTTAGATGCATCATGCATGCCATTAATTTCATTGTGTTTGAAAGCTGAAAATTGATTTAATTTTTAAGTTAATAATATTTCCCAAGAAATATACATTTTACCCATTTTAAATTTTTTGATATTTTGTTTTATTCAGAATGGATTTCATTTACAGAAAAAGTAGTTAATTAAATATAAAAAGACGCACTAAGCCAGAAGCAATTTGATCATCAAACTTGTACAAATGGATAAATGAATAAATTAAAGGGTTTTAGAATCTTTTTGGGACATACCCAAGAACTGAAAGTTACATGGTGATCATAATTCAAGAAATGGTCAGGTGGTTAGGGTGCTTGATTTGCAATCTGTTGGTCATGGGTTTCAAATCTCCATCCCACCAAACATGCTCACCCATTCAGCTCTATTAAATTAGGGATGGCTAGTACAGATATCCCTTGTGTAGCTAGCTTTACACGAAGTTCAAAACAAATCAATTCAAGAAATTGAAAAATTTTCATTACAGGCAGACAGAGTAACACAAACAGCCTTGTATCCCAAATGGGCTAATGTAAAATTATTATGGTTGACTAATGTTGTCTAATTTGTCAAGTTTCATTCAAAGTGTGTTTGTTTTTTACCTGGGGGTTGTAATAATAGTAGTAGTATAGTTTGTTTTTGCCTAAATTTATTACTGTTTTAATATAAAAATTCTTAAATGGTGGTGTGGTAGTTTAAATATTTTTTTTTATTACAAGATACAGATGATTGAGTACATTATGCCAAAATGATTTTTGAATAATTAAATAAGTAAGTTGGGTAAAAGTCACAGTTAATGTAAGGTCATGGTGAAAGAGAATGTATTAAAATTACATTTTGACCTTGACATTTCGTAGATAGTGTGATGTTATCAACAATTTATTGTTTTGGGGTATGGTATGTAACAACATTTTCTGATGCAAAATAATCAAGCACTCAGTTCATAAATATGTTTTGATCAGAGGTTTAGAATTTTAGTTCCATACACTGTGGCATACCTCAAGCATATGGCGAATGAAACTGTTATTCATGCTATCCCATGTGAAGACGTACTTGTCAATTTTCCATTACAGTCTTTTGATTTCTGTGTGATTAGCTTGTTGAAAAGGGTACTGAGAAACTGTTGTCCACATAAATTAAATGGATTATAGAAAGCCTACAGGGATCAGTGGTGGGTATTGGACAAGGACAGCCTTACAACAGAGCCTTTTACAAATGGAAACTACACTGCAATTCTATTGTTAAAATGCATGGACATCTATTAAAGCATGAGCAGATATGGTAACACGGACTGTAACATTATGGTGAGGCTCCAAATTCATTTTAATGTAACTTTTCAACCTCCATATATATGGGAAAGAGAATTTGTGGGGCATTGCTTTTTAAGGTAGGGTTAACCAGTCTTAAAAGATTACCCCAGATATTTTTGTTATGTTTTCCACATTAAATTATTATATTGATAATATAGGAGCATATTTAATAATTATTTTTTTCCCCATTAATTAAAGTTTTATTGTAAGATTTTATCATTTAATTCCTGTATTATTTCTTTCTTTATCTTAATTATAAGCTAACATTTTGGTGTTCCAGTTATTCTTTTACACAAATTTGTGTGCATTTCTTAACATGCATTCAGCTTAGAAAATGCCCTTCGAAACTTTGCCTGTTTAACAGCGGGTGATATTATTGCTATTGAATACAACAACAAGGTACGTCTTGTTTCACGTGATATTTATTGTAATAGTGTATATATATATAAATTACTTTATATCTCTGTTTAAATTCCAAAAGACATGGAAATATTAACGAAAAACCTTTACAGTTAACTTAAGAGTTAAGATGGATTTTTAGTTGAGAATCTGGTGTCTATAGCAGATAATGTTAAATTCAATCAAAGTGCAGTGAGACACGCTTTTTATTTATTCAACTCTTTCAACCCGGGCTCAGTCCCTGGGACTGACCTTTTAACCATTTTGTGTTTGTTATAGTTTTCATGCTATAACTTTTA